AGCTGCTGTGCCAGCCAGCCCCACCCTCAGGTCATCAGTCCATATTTGACAGGTGGGGCAGGGCTGAGGGTCCCAGTTTGGCCCTTAGACCAGTGAAAGCCCCAGTGATCTGCGATCCCCTCACCGATGTCTAAGGTGGTAGGAGGGGGCAGCACTGAAGGTTGGCCATGGGTGGCAGATTGTCTTGAGCGGCTTCTGGGGGTCAGTGAGGACATGAACATCCAGCTCAGACCGAGGCTCTGACAAGATGAGATTTCACTGCAGTAAAAATAAACCCTGTGGCCGGCCTGACCTCACACACAGTAAATGAAACCTCCTCCAGCACAACCCCAGGTCACTGATGCTCTGTCCTCTCGCTTGTCACACATCAAGCCCTGGACCAGCACCAACTTTCTGCAGTTGAATGTTAAGACAGAATCCTTGGCTCCCGTCAATGTCTTTCTCACCAAACCTCACCCTGATCCACACTTTCAGCTCCTCCCACCTCGATTTCTCCAATGCCCTCCTCGCCCGTCTCCTGAGCTCCACCTCCCATATAATCCAACTGATTCAAAACTCTGCCACACATATCCTGACCTGTACCAAGATGGCGTAAGATGGCGGTGCTCAGTCCCTCTGTGGACACGCACGGACCATCTCCCGTCTCACATTGCCCACTCCTGCAGGAGGGAAGACAGCGACTCCCAGGAACAATCTGCTTGGTGACATTTCTGTGCTTCCTGCCTTATTCAATGACCAACGCTGCCCCTCTGCTCTCCTCATACTATTGAGATGTTGCTCTTACTGTTTTCTGCAGTGTTGTTAATGCACTCCCCACTCGGCAGACGGTCAATATCCTACAAATATATTAAATAGCCTTTGAGATGTCCTCCTGATGTGGAACTAGATCAGCTGGAGGGTATGAGTGGAGATGGAGTTTGTAGAGAGTTGGTTTACACTGGGAGTGATGAGAGTGGTTTGTCCAAATCCCTGACTGTCCATTGCCTTGGGACGTCCTCCCGACATGAAAGGCACTATACAAGTGTAATTTGTTGTTGTTGGTTTACTGGAGGGAAGACTGGGCTTTGATTGGGGAGGAAGGGGGGGGGTGGGGTTGGACTGGGAGGAAGAGGTTTTTTTGGTCAGCCAGGTGTCTGACAGATGTGGAAAAGCAGCCCCGTGCTGAGAGTATCCAAACCAAACCGAGAATTCCACGTATTTCATCGGCACAATGATATTCCCACGTATTGGAATGGAACGTGCACTCCCTCCCTGGAGGGACGCATTGTGCTGACCTAATGCCGGAGAGTATGAGGCACAGGTTGGTAAGAGCCAAGACTTGGCGACCACAGAGAGTGCATTGGGGTAACTGCTGGAGTTTAACCATCTAAAACAGCACAGCTTGTCATTGAATCCCTGCCCGGGAAGCTTTCCCGCTGCGTGTTCAGCTGCTGCACCGCTCCACATGTTGGACTGAGTTGGTGTTAGATTCAGTGACATTATCCAGTGATTTTGCTGGTAAATCGCTGTCTCTCTGTTGATTTGTTTTGACTGTTTGGTACTTTATTCCCTGTCGATATTACATTGATTGTGGTCAGTGACGGATTGTGCTGAGGTTGGGATTCAGCTGCTGCAGTGACATTCCCGCCAGGAGAGGGGAGTGACGCTCCACATGATACAGTCCGAGCCACTTCTCTCGAACCTGTTTATGTCAACATCCCACTTCCACTGTCAAACAAGTCAAGTCCTCGTCCTTCTGCGCACATTAATACTAAGAGCTTACTGTCGATATCGACATAGAGCCTGTTCTGATGAAAGGTCATAGACTTGAAGCGTTAACTCATTTCCTCTCTCCATGGATGCTGCCTGACCTGCTGCGTTCCCAATGACTTCTGTGTTTATACCAGATTTCCGGCATCCGCAGAATTTTGCCTTTTTTTAAGACATTGTTTATTACCACTGATGTGGACAGCAGACTGTAACGGGACTGTTTTTGTCAATAAGTTCAGGAAATGTTTGTAAATAAGGTCACAAAAATACTCGTAAATAAACGGTTTAGGAATTGGAATTAACAACAAGAAGATTACTATGACTATTAAAAAAATAAATCAATGAAAATAATTGTAAATACACGGAACAGAAACTTTAATCGCAAATATCTATTGTCACTTGCAACCGCCTATGTTAACAAACTCAAATAGTCACCGACGTGAAGGTGCAGGAGGTGAACCACTCGCTATCCACAAGTATAAGTATCGATGGCAGGACACGGCACAGTCACTACAGCAAATACAACGATAGACCTTCTGAAGCTGAGGCCGTCATGAATCTGGGGCTAAAGCCACAAGCCACTCAGCTCTCAGTCTGGATGCTGTCAAGGTAACCACAAAGGGAAGGTGAGCAATTAGGTGAAAGCAGAGGCCTTTGAAGTGATACTAGAAGCCTCGGAGTGAGCAAGAACATTGGGAGGCTTCACGACATAACAGAGCCCAACTACACAAGGACAGTCCCAAATCTCCCACTGGCTGAAGTCTCCTGCACCAGGCTCCGTGAGCCTATCACCCCTGTCCTCACCCGGCTCCACTGGCTCCTCAACCCCAGTGGATCCAGTTCCAGATCCTTGTTCTCACCTTTACATCCCTCTACGGTCTTGCCCCACCTGACCTCTGTGACCTCCTTTAGCCCTATCGATCTGCCCGCACTCTCCGCTCGGTGAGCAGCAGCCTACTTCATGTCCCGGGCTCCCCCCACCATCAGCCATCGAGCTTTCAACCATCCTGCCCCCACTCTCAGGAACTCCAGCCAGTGTCCCTCCAACTCACCCCATCCCTCTCCTCGTTCACAGCATTTCTCAACATGTAGCTCATTGATCGCACTATTGGTCATCTTTCCTCCCCCCCCCCCCACCCGCAGCTTCATCCCCCGTGTTTTACACCTTTAAAAGGAACTGAAGCATTTTTCAAAATGGATGATTGTGGCGTGAATTTGTTCTGCAGTAACTCAGTCCTTAACGGCATTATGTCATCTGCTGAAACCTTCCGGAATATGTTCAACCAGAGTTGGCAACTCTAACAGTGACGCTCCCTCTACACTGTGCTACCAATGTAGTGACTGTGTGGCTAAGGAGCAGCTGCTTTGCTAACAGTAGAGCTGCACAAACAGCATGGACAACAACAAGAAGATTACATTTGTATAGCGCTTTTCACGTCAGGACGACTATCCAAAGCACTGAAAACAGCATTTCAGACCTGAGCTGGGGTCAGGGGGGGGGAGGAAGGGAGGGGAGGGGAAGGGAGGGTGACCTATGGCATGGTCGAAGAGGGTTTTGAGGTGGGACTTGAAGGGGCTAAAGAGGGGGTGAAGCAGAATGATTGGGGAATGTAATTCCAGAAGTTGGGGGAGAGTGGCTGAAGGCTCTCCTGCCAATAGTGGGGCGGGTGGGTCGGGGGATGTGGAGCAGCCAGAGCCCGCTGAGCAGAGGGAATGAGCAGGTTGGTAGGAGGTTAAGAGGTCACAGAAGTAGGGTGGAGCGAGACCATGGAGGGCTTTGGATGTGAGGACCAGGATCTTGAACTGGATCCTCTGAAGGATAGGGAGCCAATGGAGTCGGGCGAGAGTGGGGGAGATGGGGCCACGGAGTTTGGTGCGGGAGAGGACACGGGCTGCAGAGTTCTGGATTATCTGCAGTCTGTGTCGGGAGGAGTTGGGAAGGCGTTTGCATAGTCGAGCCTGGAGGTGATGAAGGCATGAACCAGAGTTTCAGCGCCTGAGGGGTGAGGTAGTGACGGAGTTGGGCGATGTTACAGAGGTGAGGGAAGGCAGAGCGGGTCATGGCTTGGATGTGGGGAAGAAGACAGTTGAGGGTCGAACAAGACACCTTGGTTCCTGACTGACGGTGAGTTGTAGTGTACACCATGGAGGTTGATGCTGCCAGAGCCTGAGGTGCGGAGGCGCTGGCGCGAGCCAATCAGGAAGGCCTCAGTCTTGTTCCTACAGTCAACTGTAGGAAATTTGCCCTCATCGAGGCTCGACTATGGAAACGTCCTGCTTGTCGGCTTTCCCAACTCCTCCCTCCATAGGCTGAAGATAATCCAGAACTCTGCAGCCCGTGTCCTCTCCCGCACCAAACTCTGTGATCCCATCACCCCACTCTCGCCCGACTCCATTGGCTCCGTATCCTTCAGAGGATCCAGTTCAAGATCCTGGTCCTCACATCCAAAGGCCTCCATGGCTTCGCCCCACCCTACCTCTGCGACCTCCTAACCCCCTAACAACCCACCCGTTCCCTCCCCTAAGCCGGCTCTGGCTGCTCCAAGTTCCCCGACTCACCTGCCCCACCATTAGCGGGAGAGCCTTCAGCCACTCTTCCCCCAACCTCTGGAATTCCATCCCCCAGGCACTCTGCCTGGGCCCCTCCTTAGCCTCCTTCAAGTCCCGCCTCAAGACCCTCCTCTTCGACTGTGCCATCGGCCACACCCCTTCCCCTCCCCTCCCTTACCCCCCCCAACCCCAGCTCAGGTCTGAAACGCTGTACTCTGTCCAGCGCCTTGGGACGTCCTCCCGATGTGAAAGGCGCTATACAAATGTAATCTTGTTGTTGGGACCCCCTGATGTTGTGACAAACACTGAAAACCAGCCCCAGGTGCACTCACCGGCCTGATCCCTGAAGCAGAGACATTGACGGCATCTGGAGCTGAGCTGCGGTCCCGAGTCTGAGAAACGGCTGTGAACTTAACAATAAAATGCAGTGGCTTTGAATGGAAAGTGTCTGAATATTCGTCACAATCTCTCTCCGGGCACATTGGGAAGTCACAGCTTCTGATCGGGTGCAGCTGAACCTGAGGCTGATTTTAATCTCTTTATTCCCAGGTCTTTACACAGTCACCAACTCACACTAGGTTTCCAGCACAAGAGAAGGCACCACTGGAACTCTGTAATCCCTTTACCCTGATCGCTCCCCATCGTGTCTGTGCTGGTGCTCACTCCCCACTGCAGCTCTTCATTAACCTCCACCTTCTCAAATCCTTGCATATAATTCCTCCTGTATTTATCTAATGCCCAGTAAACACTATTCTGGTTTGAAGAGCCATGTGGGCGAGGCATTCCACACTCTAACCCCGTCTGTAAAATATCTCCTCTAAATTGACACGTTCCCCTGATGATAACATGACTTTGTGCCTCGTGTCACTGCCTCTGATCAGATGACGTGTGGAGGTCCTGTGTGGAACTTGGGAAAAAGACTCCTTACATTTGTCACATCTTCATTTCCCCAAAGTCTGACAAGTCGCCTTCAGTGTGGATTAGTTCAGGTAAAACATGGAGGCAAATGTACAGGACTGTTTCTTCACAAACTACACATCTTGTAGGTAAGAAAAGCTGCTCCAACACAGGCCAGGACTCCCAGAGCTGTCCCCATGTTGATCCAGACCTGTTCTCTGCTCCCTGTGTCCAGACAATGTGGAGAGAATGAGAGAATCAGAGCTTCAAACAACAGACATTTACAAATGTAATCACAATGCAAGAGACATTACAATATAAATTTACATTTACAGAGTGCCTTTGACACAAATGACAGTAGGAACAGGAGTATGGCATTCAGCCCCTCGAGTCTGTTCCCCGTTACATTAGATTATGGCTGATCTGTGCCGCAACTCCAATTGGAGTTGGAATCGCCTTAGAATATCCTCCCGACATGAAGGTGCTACGTAAATGCAATTTGTTATTGTTACGATCAGCTTAGTTTAGGGTGTGTACATTTCCCAGACGATGATAACTCTATAGTGGGGCAGGTAGATAGGGCAGTAAAAAAGGCATTTGGTGTACTGAGCTTTAATAATAATAATAATCCTTGCATTTGATATAGCGCTTTTCACGTCGAGAGGACGTCCCAAAGCGCTTCACAGAACACACTGTAAAGTGAATTGACTGTATGTTTGTGGGCGAACGCGGCAGCCAATTGCGCACAGCAATGTCCCACAAACAGTCGTAGATTGAAAATGACCAATTTATTATTGTTTTTTTTTGGTTTTGGAGGGATTATTATTAGGCTCTGTGTGGAGTAAGGAAACTTGCCCAAGGTTTGGCCCTGACCTGCCGGGGATTGAACTCAGGTGTCTCACTTGCAAAGCGAGTGCTCTAACCACTGAGCTACAGGACTCCCCTTATTAGTAGGGCATAGAGTATAAGAGTAGGGGTTATGGTTAATCTGTACAAAACACTGGTTAGGCCTCAGATGGAGTACTGCGTCCAGTTCTGGGCACCGTACCTCAGGAAGGACATTAAGGCACTGGAAAGGGTACAGAGGAGATTCACGAGAATGATACCAGGAATGGGGAACTTTATCTACGAGGACAGGCGGGAGAAGGTAGGACGTTTCCCATTAGAGCAGGTTACAGAGAAGGTTACGGACAACCTGTATCCGCTGGTCAGTGTGTCTGTGACCCGCGGTCACAGTCTGAAGATATCACCAAAAGAAGCAGAGGGGAGGGTTAGAAGAAATGTTTTCACTCAGCGAGTTGTTGGAATTTGGAATGATCCGCCCGAAAGGGCAGTGAAGTCCGATTCGATAACAGCTTTTAAGAGAGAACTGTACAGGTATCGGGGAAGACGGGTTTGTGGGGTTATGGGGTGAAAGCTGGTGATTGGGGTCAGTGAGAGTGACGCTCTGTCAAAGAGCCTCACAGACTCGATGGACCGAATGGCCTCCTTCTGTGCCGTAACATTCTATGAATCTATGAATACATTACTACTCTGAATCTCTCCCATGTTTTGGTGCAATGAACAGACTCATTGTAAATACCTTCCATTCACTCCCAGGTTAATGTTTAGGTGTGAGTTCAGGGTGTGTACCTACATACAGTGAGAGTTTAGGGTGTGTACCTACATACAGTGAGAGTTTAGTGTATGTACCTACACACAGTGAGAGTTTAGGGTGTGTACCTACATACAGTGAGAGTTTAGGGTGTGTACCTACATACAGTGAGAGTTTAGGGTGTGTACCTACATACAGTGAGAGTTTAGGGTGTGTACCTACACACAGTGTGAGTTTAGGGTGTGTACCTACACACAGTGAGAGTTTAGGGTGTGTACCTACACAAAGTGAGAGTTTAGGGAGTGTACCTACACACAGTGAGAGTTTAGGGTGTGTACCTACACACAGTGTGAGTTTAGGGTGTGTACCTACACACAGTGTGAGTTTAGGGTGTGTACCTACATACAGTGAGAGTTTAGGGTGTGTACCTACACACAGTGTGAGTTTAGGGTGTGTACCTACACACAGTGAGAGTTTAGGGTGCGTACCTACACACAGTGAGAGTTTAGGGTGTGTACCTACACACAGTGAGAGTTTAGGGTGTGTACCTACACACAGTGAGAGTTTAGTGTGTGTACCTACACACAGTGTGAGTTTAGGGTGTTTACCTACACACAGTGAGAGTTTAGTGTGTGTACCTACACAAAGCTCCTGAGGACATTTGAGAAGCTGAAATCTGACAGTAAAATCTGGACACAGTATAAGTTTACTCACATGTTACGTTCAGTCGGGTCCCGTTCCCACAGACATCTCCCCACACACAGCAGTGATAGACGGCAGCGTCACTGACTGTCACTCGTCTGAGTATCAGAATGTAGGTGTTATTGGAGGTGACTCTGGACGGCTGGAGACGCTGATTAACATCTTCGTGATCTGTTTTCCTGCCATTTGTATCATGTGTTAAAATCCACTCCCTCTGCTGTCCCGGGAGTTGTCGGTACCAGTGTACATCGTTGCGGCTCACGTCTGCGTTCTCCATGGAGCACTGTAACCGGGCCGGGTATCCCACTGCGACACGTTCCAGGGTCGGGGACTGAATGAGGAGAGGATCAGTCGTACCTGTAAGGGAAAAATCTCTGTCAGTTACAGTCCAGCCTGGAGGGAACAACATCAACAACAAAATTACATTTATAGTGCGCCTTTCACGTTGGGAGGACGTCCCAAGGCTTTGCACAGTCAGGGGTCAGGACCCGAGCATGGGGGAGGGGTGGGGTAGGGCTGAGCTAAGGCAAAGAGGTGGGAGGGTGACCGAAGGCACGGTCGAAGAGGAGGGTCTAGAGACCGGCCTTGAATTATTATTTATTATTATTTTTATTATTATTGAAGGAGGCAAGGGAGGAAGCGAGGTGAAGGGACCGTGGGATTGAGTTCCAGAGTGTGGGGGCAGAGAGGCTGAAAGCCTGGCCACCGATGGTAGGGTGAGTCGGGCGGGAGACATGGAGCAGACCGGAACCCACTGAATGGAGGGAGCGGGCAGGTTGGTAGGGAGTCAGCAGGTCAGAGAGGTAGGAGGGGGCAAGTCCATGGATGGCCTTGAAAGTGAGGATGAGGATCTTGAACTCAATCCTCTGTGGGATGGGGAGCCAGTGGAGTCGGGCGAGGGTGGGAGTGATGGGGTTGGGCGAAGGTGGGAGAGATGGGGTCGGGCGAGGGTGGGAGTGATGGGGTCACAGAGCCTGGTGCGAGAGAGTACATGAGCTGCAGAGTTTTGATGATCTGCAGCTTGTGAAGGGAAGAGTTGGGAAGGCCGATGAGGAGGGAGTTTTCGTAATCGAGCCTCGAGGTGACGAATGTGTGGGTGAGGGGGAGCCTGAGGGGTGAGGCAGTGGCAATGTTGCGGAGGTGGTGGTAGGCAGCGCCGGTCATGGGGGAGAAAGGACAGTTCAGGGTCAAACAAGACTCCCAGGTTCCTGACTGGCTTAGTGAGGTTGAGTGTGCAACCGTGGAGGCTGATGCTGCGAGTGCCCGAGGTGCGGAGGCGCTGGCACGAGCCAATCAGAAGGGCCTCGGTCTTGCTAAAGTTCAGCTGGAGAAAGTCCCTCGTCTAGGACTTGATGTCAGACAGGCAATCGGCCAGGACGCCAGTAGTCCTGGAATTGAGGGTGGAGGCAGAAATATAGAGTTGGGTATCATCCGCATACGTTTGGAAATTTACCCTACGTCTGCAGATGATGTCACCAAGGGGGAGCATGTAGAGGGTGAAGAGGAGGGGACCCAGGACAGAGTCCTGAGGAACACCACACAAGACAGTGCGGGGGGTGGAGGAGAAGCCGTTTGCTGAGACGAGGTGGAGTCGGTGTGATAGGGAGGACCTGAACCAGTCAAGGACAGAACCTTGAAGGTTGAGGTGGAAGGAGAGGCGGTGGAGGAGGATTGAGTGGTCCACGGTGTCAAAGGTGGCGGAGAGGTTGAGGAGGATGAGAAAGCAGAGGGAGCCCTGGTCACACATGGTCAGTATGTCGCTTGTGACTTTGACCAGAGCATGTGGCGGTAGATGGATAGCTGTGATGGATCGAGGGAAGATTTCTTCAAAGTGGAGTTGATAATGACTGTTTTGAGGAGGGAAGGAACAGCGCCAGATGACAGGGAGAGGTTGATGATATTGGCAAGTAGTGGGGCAAAGAGCTGGAGCTGAGATTTGAGGAGAGGGGTGGGGTTGGGATCCAGGGAACAGGTGGTGGGCTTCATGGAGGATATGGTGGTGATTATAGAGGGGTTGAACATTCCTACACTGATCACAGACAATTTGTTTAGTCACTGATTCAAATAAGTGACTAAACTAAATATAATAATAATAATAATCCTTTCATTTGATATAGCGCTTTTCACGTCTTCTCGACATCTCAAAGCGCTTCACAGAATAGACTGTAAAGTGAAGTGACTGTATATTTGTGGGCGAACGCGGCAGCCAATTGCGCACAGCAATGTCCCACAAACAGCCGTGGATTGAAAATGACCAATTTATTATTGTTTTTTTTTAGACGGATTATTATTAGGCTCTGTGTGGAGTAAGGAAACTTGCCCAAGGTTTCGCCCTCTGCCTGGAATTGAACCCACGTGTCTCACTTGCAAAGCGTGTGCTCTAACCACTGAGCTACAGCACTCCACAATATTGTCACTAACATTATATTAAATTACAAGCTGTACCTGTAGCAGCTTCATTTGCGACCAAATGATCCAATATGGAATGCAGATTAACAGACAGACAGACGCACAGACAGACATTATAGATTTACACATTTTGACATTATACTCAGTGGGAGGGCTCCTGTGGGAGGGCTCCTTTTTATATATTTCTCTCTCAGTCTCTGTCTCTCTCTCTTGCTATCTCTCAGTCTCTCTCCTAATGTCCCTCGGGGCCAGGTCCCCTGCAGTTTCTCAAACAGAAATAGGGGTATTCGCCCCCCGCCCCGATGTGACTCTCGCTCTCTCCCTGTGTGACTCTCACTCTCTCTCTCGCTCTCTCTCTCTGTCTTTCGCTCTCTTTCTCTCTGTGTGACTCTCATTCTTTCCTTGTGTGACTCTCTCTTCAACAATTCACTCTCTGGAGACTCTCTCCTTGTGTGACTCTTTCTCTCCTCTCTCTCCTTGTGTTACTCTCTCTCTCTCTCTCCTTGTGTGACTCTCTCTCTCTCGTGTGACTCTCTCTTTCCATCTCTCTCTCTCTCTCCTTGTGTGACTCTCTCTCTCTCACTCCTTGCATGACTCTCTCTCCCCCTCTCTCTCTCAATGTGATTTTCTCTCTCTCCCTGTGTGACTCTCACTCTCTCCCTGAGTGGCTCTCGCTCGTTCTCCCCATGTGACTCTCTCTATCTGTTTCAATCACTCTCTCTATCCCTGTGTGACTTTCACTCACTCTCTCACTGTGTGACTCTCTCACCCCTTGTGTGACTCTTTTTCTCCCTGTGTGACTTTCTCTCGCTCTCTCTCTCTCTCTCTCTGACTCTCTCTCTCTCTCGCTCTGTGTGAGTCTCTTTCTCTGACTGTGTGACTCTCTCTCCCTACAACTCTCCCTCTCTCCCTGTGTATCTCTCTCTCTCTTCTCCTGTGTGACTATCTCTCTCTCCCTGTGTAACACTCTCTCTCTCCCTGTGTGACTCTCTCTCTCCCTGCATGACCCTCTCTCTCTCTCCCTGGGTGATTCTTTCTCTCCCCCTGTGTGACTCTCTCTCTCTCGCTCACTCTTTCATTTTCATAGATTCATAGAATGTTACGGCACAGAAGGAGGCCATTCGGCCCATCGAGTCTGTGCGGCTCTTTGACAGAGCGTCACTTTCACTGACCCCAATCACCAGCTTTCTCCCCATAACCCCACAAACCCGTCTTCCCCGATACCTGTCCAGTTCTCTCTTAAAAGCTGTTATCGAATCGGACTTCACTGCCCTTTCGGGCGGATCATTCCAAATTCCAACAACTCGCTGAGTGAAAACATTTCTTCTAACCCTCCCCTCTGCTTCTTTTGGTGATATCTTCAGACTGTGACCGCGGGTCACAGACACACCGACCAGCGGAAACAGCTTGTCCTTATCTCGCCTGTCGAAACCTTTCATGATCTTGAAGACCTCTATCAGGTCCCCACGTAACCTTCTCTGCTCTAATGGGAAAAGTCCTAACTTCTCCACTGTCCTCATAGCTAAGGTTCCCCATTCCTGGTATCATTCTCGTGAATCTCCTCTGTACCCTTTCCAGTGCCTTAATGTCCTTCCTGAGGTACGGTGTCCAGAACTGGACGCAGTACTCCAGCTGAGGCCTAACCAGTGTTCTGTACAGATTAACCATAACCCCTACTCTTATACTCTATGCCCTACTAATGAAGCTCAGGACACCAAATGCCCTTTTTACTGCCCTATCTACCTGCCCCACTACCTTTAATGATTCACTTACTTGAACACCCAGATCTCTCTGTACGTTCACCCCCTTAAGATTGAGCTCCAAGTCTATATTGCCTCCTATCATTCTTCCTCCCTAAGTGTATCACCTCACACTTATCCACATTGAAATCCATCTGCCACATGTCAGCCCATTCCACCATTCTGTGTGTGTCTGCCTGCAGTTGGTTACAGTCCTCCTCACTATTTCCTACCCGACCGAACTTGGTATCATCTGCAAACTTGGAAATAGTGCTCCCTGTGCCCCATTCCAGATCATTAATATATATTAGAAAGAGCAGTGGTCCCAATACCGATCCCTGGGGGACACCGCTGCACACCTCCTCCCATTGCGAGAAACACCCATTAACCACCACCCTCTGCTTTCTGTCACTCAGTCAGTTCCTAATCCAAACTGCCACTGTCCCCTTAATACTGTGAGCCTCTAATTTTTTTATTAATCTCTTATGTGGAACTGTGTCAAAAGCCTTTTTGAAATCCATGTAAATAACGTCCACCGCATTTCCCTCATCAACCCTCACAGTCACCTCTTCAAGACTTTCTATTAGATTTGTTCGGCAAGATTTGCCTTTAACAAATCCATGTTGGGGGTCTCTAATTACCTCGTGTTCCTCTAAGTAGAGATCTATTCTGTCCCGGATTACGGTCTCCAGTAGCTTTCCTATTACCGAGGTTAGGCTGACTGGCCTGTAATTTCCGGGTTTGTCTTTCTGCCCCTTTTTGTAGAGTGGGGTAACATTAGCCACTCCCCAGTCTCTCTGCACCACTCCGTGTCCAATGAAGATTGAAATATAATGGCCAAAGCCTCCGCTATTTGAACCCATATCTCCCACAGCAACTTTGGGTGAAACCCATCTGGTCCTGGGGACTTATCAATTTTGAGCCCAGTCAATCTTTCCCTGTGTGATTCTCTTTCTCTTTGTGTGACTACGGCTCACTCTCTCTCTCCCCGTGTGTATCTCTCTCTCTGTCTTTCACTCTTTCCTGTGTGATTCTTTCTCTCTCCCTGTGTGACTCTCACTCACTCCCTGTTTGACTCTCTGACTCTCTTTCTCTCTCTGTAATTCACTCACTCTCTCCTCCTGTGTGACTCTTTCTTACTCTCGCTGTGTCTTTCACTCTTCCCTGGGTGATTTTCTTTCTCCTTGTGTGACTCTCACTCTCTCTCTCTCTCTCTCTCCTTGTCTCACTCTTTCCCTGTGTGACTCTCTTTCTCTCTCTCTTGCGGACTCTCGCCAGAGACTCTCTCCTTGTGTAACTCTTTCTCTCCCTCTTTCTCTCCCTGAGTGACTCTAACTCATTCTCCCTGTGCGATTCTCTTTCTCTCTCCTTGTGTGACTCTCACTCACTCTCTCTCTCTCCCTGTGTGACTCTCTCAAGACTCTCTACTTATGTGACTCTCTCTCCCCGTGTGACTTTCTCTTCCTCTGTGTGTCTCTCTCTCTCCGTGTGACTTTCTCTTTCCCTGTGTGATTCTCTCTCTCCTTCTCCCTGTGTGACTCTCTCTCTCTCACTGTGTGACTCTCTCTCTCTCTCTCTCTCCGTGTGACCCTCTCTCTCTCCCCGTGTGACACTCTCTCTCCCTGTGTGACACTCTCTCTTCCTGTGTGACACTCTCTCTTCCTGTGTGACTCTTACTCTGTCTCTTCCTGTGTGACTCTTTCTCTGCCTGTGTGACACTCTCTGTTTGATTCTCTCTTTCTGTGTGACTCTGTCTCTGTGATTCTCTCTCTCTCTCTCTCTCTGTGACTCTCTTTCTGTGTGACACTTTCTCTCTCTGACTCTCTCTCTCTCTCTCGGTGTACTCTCTCTCTCTATGTGACTTTAATAATAATAATAATAATAATCCTTGCATTTGATATAGCGCTTTTCTCGTCGGGAGGACGTCCCAAAGCGCTTCACAGAACACACTGTAAAGTGAATTGACTGTATATTTGTGGGCGAACGCGGCAGCCAATTGCGCACAGCAATGTCCCACAAACAGTCGTGGATTGAAAATGACCAATTTATTATTGTTTTTTTTTTCTCTGTCTCTCTCTGTGTGACACTCTCTGTCCCTGTGTCCCTGTCTTTACCTAATCTTCGCGGACCTGCCCTTGTCTGGTTCGATTCCTATCTCTCTCACGCCTCCACTTTTATGTCTATCAGTTTCTCCTCCAGTCCCTGCACTGTCACGTCTGGCGTCCCCCAGGGCTCTGGCCCTGTCTCCTCTTTAATATCTACATGCTCCCCCCTTGGTGATATCATCCGCAGACATGGGGTCAACCTCCATATGTATGCAGATGACACCCAACTCTATCTTTCTGCCCCCACCCTCAACTCCTGGTTTGATAACAACTTTTAAGACAGAAGTAGATAATTATTTGGGAGGTCAAGTTTGCAGGGCTATGGGGAGAGCAGGGGAGTGGGATTGATTTACATAGCCCTTTTCAAAGAGCCGGGGCGGACACGATGAGTCGAATACCCTCCTTCTGTGCTGTATAATTCTATGATTCTCTCCCTGTGTGACTCTCACTCACTCTCTCTCAATTGATTTGATGGTTCACTTACCGATCACAGTTACCACAGTCCCAGTTCCAAAGATAGTTGTGTGCACAGCACAGGTATAGATAGAAGAGTCTGTGAGACGTACATCAGTGATCGTCAGAGTACAGCTGTTGTCAGTGAGATTTTTCTTTGACCCAAAACGTTCAGTAACATCGTACCTCTGAACGTGATTTTGATAATGAGTTATAATTTGTCGATTTCCTTGTCCAGGCCGCCGCTGGTACCAGTGTAGATGTATTTTCCCCATTTCACCGTTCTTCATGGCACACAGTAAGTGGACGGTCTGCCCCTCTCTCACAGTTACTTGGGCCGGTGACTGAGTCAGGACAGGAACTCCCGTTCTCCCTTTAAACAGTGAACAGGTACAAACTGTCACAGGGCGAGGAGTCAGACACACATACAGAGCAGCAGATTTAACACCTATCTATGATTAAAGCCACAGTGCTGTTCCAGAAACAATCGTGGATTGAGTGACCACGTTATTTATTTACATTTTTAAGGAGTAAAGAGTATGTAAAAATATTTAAAGCGTATATTTGTGAAACGCGGCAGTCAATTGCGCACAGCAATGTCCCACAAACAGCCGTGGGTTGAAAATGACCAATTTATTATTTTTTTTAGACGGATTATTATTAGGCTCTGTGTGGAGTAAGGAAACTTGCCCAAGGTTTCGCCCTCTGCCTGGAATTGAACCCACGTGTCTCACTTGCAAGGCGTGTGCTCTAACCACTGAGCTACAGCACTCCACAATATTGTCACTAACATTATATTAAATTACAAGCTGTACCTGTAGCAGCTTCATTTGCGACCAAATGATCCAATATGGAATGCAGATTAACAGACAGACAGACGCACAGACAGACATTATAGATTTACACATTTTGACATTATACTCAATGGGAGGGCTCCTGTGGGAGGGCTCCTTTTTATATATTTCTCTCTCAGTCTCTGTCTCTCTCTCTTGCTATCTCTCAGTCTCTCTCCTAATGTCCCTCGGGGCCAGGTCCCCTGCAGTTTCTCAAACAGAAATAGGGGTATTCGCCCCCCGCCCCCATGTGACTCTCGCTCTCTCCCTGTGTGACTCTCACTCTCTCTCTCGCTCTCTCTCTCTGTCTTTCGCTCTCTCTCTCTCGCTCTCTACCTGTGTGACTCTCACTCTCTCTCTCTCTGTCTTTCGCTCTCTCTCGCTCTCTCTCTGTGTGACTCTCATTCTTTCCTTGTGTGACTCTCTCTCCAGCAACTCACTCTCTGGAGACTCTCTCTTTGTGTGACTCTCTCTCCCCATCTCTCTCTCGCTCTCCTTGAATGACTCTCTCTCTCTCTCCCCCTCTCTCTCTCACTGTGATTTTCTCTCTCTCCCTGTGTGACTCTCTCTATCTCCTTGTGACTCTTTCTCCCCCTATGTGACTCTTTCTGTCTCTGTAACTCTCACAGTCTCTCACTGTGTAACTGTCACTCTCGCCCTTTGTGACTCTCACTCCCTGAGTGAATCTCACTCACTCACTCTCCCTGTGTGAATCTCTCACTCTCTGTCTCACTCTGTCCCTGAGTGATTCTCTCTCTCGCTCCCTGTGTGACTCTCTCTCTCTCCCTGTGTGACTCTCTGCCTGTGTGATTCTCTCTCTCCCGGTGTGACTCTCTCTCTCCCTGTTTGACTCTCTTTCTCTCTCTGTAACTCACTCACTCTCTCCTCCTGTGTGACTCTCTCTTACACTCTCTATGTCTTTCACTCTTCCCTGGGTGATTCTCTTTCTCCTTGTGTGACTCTCACTCTCTCTCCTTGTCTCACTCTTTCCCTGTGTGACTCTCTTTCTCTCTCTCTGTGGGACTCTCCCCAGAGACTCTCTCCTTGTATTACTCTTTCTCTTCTTTATTCTCTCCCTGAGTGACTCTCACTCATTCTCCCTGTGTGATTCTCTTTCTCTCTCATTGTGTGACTCTCACTCACACTCTCTCCCTGTGTGAATCTCTCTCACTCTCTCTATGTCTCTCACTCTGTTCCTGAGTGATACTCTTTCTCTCTTCTTGTGTGACTCTCACTCACACTCTTTCATCACCTCCGGAACATCGCCAGACTACGGCACTACCTCACCCCTCACGCGGCTGAAACTCTGGTCCACACCTTTATCACCTCAAGGCTGGACTATGGGAACTCTCTCCTCGCGGCCTTCCCGCCACCTCCCTCCACACTACAGGTCATTCAGAACTCTGCAGCTCGTGTACTGTCCCGCACCAGACACTGCGCCAACATCACTCCCACCCTCACCCTCGCCCTCGCCCTCACCCTCGCCCTCACTCGCCTCCACTGCTCCGCATCCCCCAGAGGATCGATTTCAAGATCTTCATCCTCACCTACAAGGCCATTCACGGCCTCGCTCCCTCCTACCTCTCTGACCTACTATCCCCCTAACTACCTGCCCGTATTCTCCGTTCCTCCGGCTCCGGTCTGCTCCACGTCCCCCGCCCCAACCGCCCTACCATCGGTGGCCTTCAGCCTCTCAGCCCCGAGGCTTTGGAACTCTATCCCCCAGTGCCTTCGCCGCTTCCTCCCTTTCCTCCTTCAAGGCCGGTCTCAAGACCTTTCTCTTTGACCTTCAGCCTTCAGCTCCGCTCTCGACTCTCTACCCCCTCCTCGCTCCCTCCCTTCCCTCCCCTCAACCTGACCATTTCCACCCTCCTCGCTCCCTCCCTTCCCTCACCCTGACCATTTCCCCCCAATGCTCGGGTCCCGACACAACTGTCCAGCGCCTTGGGACGTCCTCCCAATGTGAAAGGCGCTCTATAAATGAAACCTTGTTTTTGTTGTTTCCCTGTGTGAATCTCTCTCTCTCTGTCTCTCACTCTTTCCCTGTGCGACACTCTCTCTCTCCGTATGACTCTCTCGCACTCCCTGTGTGACTCTCTTTCTCTCTCTGTAACTCACTCACCCTCTCTTCCTGTGTGACTCTGTCTTACTCTCTCTGTCTTTCACGCTTCCCTGGGTGATTCTCTTTCTCTCTCCCTGTGTGACTCTCACTCACTCTCTCTCTCTCTCTCTGTCTCACTCTCTCGTTGTGTAACTCTTTCTCTCCCTCTTTCACTCCCTGAGTGACTCTCACTCATTCTCCGTGTGATTCTCTTTCTCCTTCGTTGTGAGACTCTCACTGACTCTCTCCGTGTGTGACTCTCCCTCTCCGTGTGACACTCTCTCTCTTCCAGTGTGACTCTGTCTCTCCGTGTGACTCTTTCTCTCCGTGAGACTCTCTCTCCGTGTGACACTCTCTCTTCCTGTGTGACTCTTTCTCTCCCTGTGTGACTCTCTTTCTGTGTGACTCCACCTGTGATTATCTCTCTCTGTGACTCTCTCTCTGTGTGACACTCTCTGTGACTCTCTCTCTCGCTCTATGTGACTTTCTCTCCCTATGTGACTCTCTTTCTCTCTCTCTCTCTGTCACTCTCTCTCTCTCTGTCACTCTTCCTGTGTGATTCTCTCTCTCTCTCTCTCTCTCTGACTCTCCCTCTGTGATTCTCTGTGTGAATCTCCCTTTCTCTGTGTCACTCTCTCTCTCTGTGAGACTTTCTCTCCCTATGTGACTCTGTCTTTCTCTCCGTGTGACTTTCTCTATCTCGCTCCATGTGACTCTCTCTCTCTCTCTGTCTCTCTCTGTGTGACACTCTCTGTCCCTGTGTCCCTGTCTTTACCTAATCTTCGCGGACCTGCCCTTGTCTGGTTCGATTCCTATCTCTCTCACGCCTCCACTTTTATCAGTTTCTCCTCCAGTCCCTGCACTGTCACGTCTGGCGTCCCCCAGGGCTCTGGCCCTGTCTCCTCTTTAATATCTACATGCTCCCCCCTTGGTGATATCATCCGCAGACATGGGGTCAACCTCCATATGTATGCAGATGACACCCAACTCTATCTTTCTGCCCCCACCCTCAACTCCTGGTTTGATAACAACTTTTAAGACAGAAGTAGATAATTATTTGGGAGGTCAAGTTTGCAGGGCTATGGGGAGAGCAGGGGAGTGGGATTGATTTACATAGCCCTTTTCAAAGAGCCGGGGCGGACACGATGAGTCGAATACCCTCCTTCTGTGCTGTATAATTCTATGATTCTCTCCCTGTGTGACTCTCACTCACTCTCTCTCAATTGATTTGATGGTTCACTTACCGATCACAGTTACCACAGTCCCAGTTCCAAAGATAGTTGAGTACACAGCACAGGTATAGATAGAAGAGTCTGTGAGACGTACATCAGTGATCGTCAGAGTACAGCTGTTGTCAGTGAGATTTTTCTTTGACCCAAAACGTTCAGTAACATCGTACCTCTGAACGTGATTTTGATAATGAGTTATAATTTGTCGATTTCCTTGTCCAGGCCGCCGCTGGTACCAGTGTAGATGTATTTTCTCCATTTCACCGTTCTTCATGGCACACAGTAAGTGGACGGTCTGCCCCACTCTCACAGTTACTTGGGCCGGTGACTGAGTCAGGACAGGATCTGCTGTTCCCCCTTTAAACAGTGAACAGGTACAAACTGTCACAGGGCGAGGAGTCAGACACACATACAGAGCAGCAGATTTAACACCTATCTATGATTAAAGCCACAGTGCTGTTCCAGAAACAATCGTGGATTGAGTGACCACGTTATTTATTTACATTTTTAAGGAGTAGAGAGTATGTAAAAATATTTAAAGCATGCAAGTTTCAATTGGAAAAGGCATGCTCAAAAATAAACAAGAGTTGTTTATTCAGTGACAAATAGCCATTGATATGGACTGAATCTCAGTGTCAGCTGGTCAGGGCTGGCTCTCCTGTATCCACAGTATACAGCCTCTTAGCACACACCAGCAATCTGTGCTGTGCTCCAAACACTGCTTCCTATTACACCACATCCACATCAGTGGCTGGAATTCCTCAACACACTGACTCTGAGCATCAGTCTAGTTCTTGTGTAGGCTGTAGCTCACACAGGGTGGTCCCAAACATGGTGGTCAATCTCCTCCCAGTGAGCAGCCTGACCTGGCTTTACTGTAGAGTGTCAAGGGTGTGAGTGGAGAGAGCGCGGAAGTGACTGTAGGCAGGGTCAAACAGGAAGCGTTTCAGGTATGATCTGAAGATGGACAAGGAGGGAGCGGTTAGATGATTGAGGCAGTGAGTTCCAGAGACTTGGGGTGTCGTGCCTGAAAGCACGGCCGCCGATGTTAGAGCAGAGGAGACGGGGAATATGCAGGAGGCCGGAGCCCGTTGAGCGAAGTGAACGAGTAGAGGAGTAGGGTGAGAGCATTGTCATTAGTACTCAGTGACATCCTGAAATCTTTCAGCTCGTCTCATATACAAGATAACACAGACTCCCAACACCCACACACAACAAAGCATCTCCTCTCCCTGCCTCCCCACCTCACTTACCTGCCATAACACATAGGAGCAGCCTCACAGTAAAGAGAATCGTGTTCATTTCAGCAATGCTCAGGTTACATGTTGAGAAATGTGGAGAAGCTGTGATGGAGCTCAGTCAAATTCCCTTTCCCTGTAGCACTCATTGTACCTCATGTAAAGAGGACGAAACAGCCAGAGAGAGAGAGAGAATGTGCCAACCTGTCACAGCAACACAGACCACAACAGATTGATACCTTTTTACAACAACAATTTGCATTTTTATAGCACACCTCACTCAGGGTAGCTTGACAGTGGCAGAGCATGTCGCCGAGATGTAGGGAGTGACCGTAGGCACGGTTGAAGAGAAAGGGGGAGGAGGCGTCAGGCAGAGGGATAAAGCTTTGGAGCATAGTGGCTCAAAATGTGACCAACGATGGTGGAACAGAGATCACAAGAGAGAAGCAGGAGGCCAGAGGCAGTCGAGCGGAGGCAGCGGATCAGAGAAGTAGGAATTTGCCAGGATTTGAAGACAAGTGTGAAAATCTTAAAGTCAATCTGTTTGGTGACTGGGAGCCAGTGGAGCCTGGCTAGAACTAGTGTGATGGGGCTATGGTGCGGGTGAGTATGTGGATGGCAGAGATGCATTTTGTGGAGCTGGGGAGACCGGTGAGGAGGGGGTTTGAGTTGTCGAGGCAGGAGGTGATGAACACATGGATAAATGTTTCAGCTGTTTGGAACTTGGAAATGTGGTGGAGGTGGAGGAAAGTAGGAAAGTAGTCCTGGTCAGAGGCCGGATGTGGGGCAGGAAGGACAGTTGTGGGGTGACCCTGACACCTAGGTTATGTGAGTCTGAGAGATAGGCCGGGAATGTTGAGGAGGTCATAGTCGTAGGAGAGAAGAAATTGATGGGTGCCAAGGAGTAGGACTTCTGTCTTGACAACATTCAGTTGCAAGAAGTTTGCTGTCATCCAGCACTAATGTCTGCCAGACAAGCTGACAGAACATTGGGAATCTGGATGAGAGCCAACTTTCTAAGTTGACCATCAAGAAGACCGAGGTTCTCCTGATTGGCTCTCTTCAGCACCTCCTTACCTGACAGCATCACCATCAATGGTTTCACACTCCACCTTGCTAAGCCAGTCCAGAACCTTGGGGGGTCTTCTTTGACCCTCAACTGTCCTTTCTACCCCATATCTGTGCCATGACCCACTTCAGCCTTTCTCCATCTCTGCAACATTGCCCGTCTCCACCACTGTCTCACGACACAGGCTACTGAAACTCTCATAGACACCTTCATTACGTCGAAGCTCATTTATGCAGACTCCCTGCTTGTCGGTCTCCACAATTCCTCCCTCCACAGGTTGCAGATCATCCAGAACTCTGCAGCCCGTGTCCTCTCCCACTAGGCTCCGCAACCCTATCCGCTAATCCTCACCCAACCCGACTGGCCTCCCAGGATACAGTTCAAGATCCTGTCCCACCTTCAAAGCCCTCCACGGTCTTGCTACCCCCTACATCTGTGACTTCCTAACCCCTGACCATCCTGCTCGCTCTCTCCGCCAGTGGGCTCCACCCTGCTTCATGTTCCCCCACCTCACTCGCCCCACTATTGGCGGGCAGGCCTTCCGCCACTCTGCCCCCACCCTCTGGAACTCCATCAAGATAAATGTGACGAGGAAAATATCTTGAGGATTATATCTATTTCAGGGGGTGCTAGTTCTCTGAAATAATAGCTTTCAAAAGGGTAATTGGATAGGTACTTAAAAGGAAACATTTGCAGGGCTATGGCTAAGAGTCTGTGCTCAATTGGCTGTCGTGTTTCGCCCACAGAATACAGTCAATTCACAAGCAATGCAACAACAACAAAATCAGGAGGACATCCCAAGGCGCTGGACAGTCAGCGGTCAGGAACTGAGCATGGGGGAGGGGTGAGGGAAGGCAGAGAGGTGGGAGGGAGAACGTAGGCACGATTGAAAAGGAGGGTTTTGATGCCAGCCTTGAAGGAGGCAAGGGAGGAAATGAGGCGAAGGACTGTGGGATGGATCTCTAGAGTGTGGGGGCAGAGAGGCTTTGAAAGGCCAGCCACAGATGGTAGAGTGGGTCAGAGAGGTAGGAGGGGGCAAGGCCATGTATGGCTTTGAAAGTGAGGATGAGGATCTTGAATTCGATCCTCTGGGGGATGGGGAGCCAGTGGAGTTGGGCGCGGGTGGGAGTGATGGGGTTGGGCGAGGGTGGGAGTGATGGGGTCACGGAGCCTGTTACGCAAGAGTACACGAGCTGCAGAGTTTTGGATGATCTGCGGCTTGTGAAGGGAACAGTTGGGAAGGCCAACCAGGAGGGAATTTCCATAATTGAGCCTTGATGTGATGAATGCGTGGGTGAGGGATTTGGCAGCCTATGGGGTGAGGCAGTGCGGCGTTGCAGAAATCCCGAGCGCAATGCAGAAATCCCCTAAGAGTGTAGCACTCACAAAACTGGGGCACTAGGATTTGTATTGCGTTTTGCCAGATTGTCGGTGATTATCCATCCGATATAACAAATCATTAATCAATCACTCAAGCAGAGAGCCCAGCAGTGTGAGGAAGTAACTGAGTGAGTTTGGAATTCTGTGCAGGAATTTGGTGAATGTATGAATTCTTCAGCAAGCGAGATACCAGAGAGCAAGCAAGAACTCTCTTGCTCTCTGGTATCTCTTCCTTCCATTCAGCAGAAGAGTGGCAAATCTTTTTTGAGGAAGAGACAACCTTTCACTTGAGCAAGTAAACAAGTCAAATTGGCAGTTAGTCACTAGTCAGATGTTGGGGATTAGTAAGTTTGCTGACCAGTTGAAACTGGGTGAGTCTTAGGCTTATATAAAGAGAAAGAGGTGCAAGAGCCCCACTCAAGCAGAGAGCCCAGGAGCATGAGGAGGTAATTGAGTGAGTTTGGAATTCTGTGCAGGAATTTGGTGAGAGTGGGAATTTGGTGCAGAGGGGGAAAGAGGTACATAATTATAAAAACATATAAACTTTACATTAAAATACAATATAAACATGTCTGGGAATATGGCAGGGCAGCTGAATGCATAATGTGTGCCATATCAGAACTCCAGGATGCTGCGTGTGGCCTGAACAAACATGTGTATAAGAAGTGCCTCTGGATGCTCGAGCTTGAGCTCAGGATTTCTGAGCTTGAGGAGAGGCTGAAAAGTTCGAAGAGTTCATGGATCAAACGTTTCAGGAGTTGGTCACCCCACAGCTGCAGAGGTTTCAGAAGGAGAATGAGAGGGTGACCACCAGGCATGTTAGGAAGAGGGGACGGACAGTGCAGAAATCCCCTGAGAGTGTGGCAATCACAAACCAGTTCTCTGTACTGAATACCGGTCAGGGTGTTGACACCTTAGGGGAGAGGAGTCAAAAGCAAATGGATGCTCAGGTGGGTGCAGGGAAGACTGTCAAGGTAGTTACGGCCACAACAGTGAAAGGAGTGGACAGACGTTTCTGCTACCAAAGACGTGATTCTCGATTGGTATGTTGCCTCCCTAGTGTCAGGGGTGAAGACATCACAGAATGGGTGCAAAACATTCTACAGGAGGAAGCAAAACATCCAGAAATTGTGGTTCATGTTGGGATGCATGGCTTAGGAATAAAAAGGGCTGAGATCCTACAGAGAGAGTATCAGAAGCTAGGGAAAAAGCTAAATAGTAGGATCTAATCTCTGGATTACTCCCAGTGCCTCGTGCAAGTGAATATCAAAACATCAGAATCAAACACATGAATGCAAGTTGCAGAAATGAGCGCTTCATGTTCCTGGAACATTGGGATCAGTGGATCTGGTCAGTTTTGGGGCAGATGGGACCTGTACAAGGTGGGATGGGTTACACTTGAACAGGGCTGGCAGAGAGGTTAACTAGTGCTGTGGGAAAGCCTTTAAAATAATTTTGCGGGGGGAGAAATCAGGATGATAATAATAATAATAATAATAATGCTTGCATTTGATATAGCGCTTTTCACGTCGGGAGGACGTCCCAAAGCGCTTCACAGAACACACTGTAAAGTGAATTGACTGTATATTTGTGGGCGAATGCGGCAGCCAATTGCGCACAGCAATGTCCCACAAACAGTCGTAGATTGAAAATGACCAATTTATTATTGTTTTTGGTTTTGGAGGGATTACTATTAGGCTCTGTGTGGAGTAAGGAAACTTGCCCAAGGTTTGGCCCTCTGCCTGGAATTGAACTCAGATATCTTGCTTGCAAAGCGAGTGCTCTAACCACTGAGCTACAGGACTCCACGAGGATGCAGCATCAGAGCAGAGAAACAAGTTCCATAGCGGACTGGGAGAGATGAACAGCAATGCAATAAGGAGTAATCCAGAAAAAGGAGGGATTAGACAGGGGAGAATTGCAAAGTGTGATAAATAAGATTGGTGAGCTGCGGCTCAAGATGCCACATGGGATTATAATGTAGTGGATAATAGACACTTGGCTCAAACAAGGGCAGGAATGGGAGCTGAATACTCCTGGCTATAATGTATTCAGAAGGGATAAGGAAGGGAAAAAAGTAGGGTGTGGGGAGGGTGTGGCAATATTGATTAAAGACATGGTTACGGCCCTGGAAAGGGGCAAAGTGCTAGAGGGTCCAAAATTGATCGCCTTCCAATTATGGTTGCAGATGAATATGATGAACAGGTCAGGTTGCCCATATTCTCGCACATAGCACAATGCATTCTGAGTTCTTTTGCACATAAACTATGGCTCCCAGTGAAACTGGATGGCAAGATGACCAGTTGACCTACGTTGCTGGTGTCACCATCGTCTATAAGTTCATTGCGCAAATGAATGTACTCCTCAGCCGAGTTTCTTCTGGTTCAAGCGCAAAAAAAGAAGTCTCTCTGGTTTGATCTTGGCACCACATGCTACAATGAATTGACTGCAGAAGAATGTTGTAATTGCATTTAGGTTGAAGCAACCTGTGTGCATAAAGATCCATAGAAGTCACCTTTATGTCAGGCCTTGACTGTCCAGTGCTGGGATATGTTTGCCATTTCTGGGAGTAAGATTGGATACTGGAGGGCATCGTATGCCCAGTTAATCTCACACACGTTTGAGTTTGTTGTCACGCTGCTGCAACACAATGTCCCGTTTACCATGTTCTTCACCCACAATCAGGATGGCTACTTCGTCAGTAGTTAAGTGTATTGTATCGTCGCTCGTGCTGGTCAGTAGGTGTGTTG